TCAGGGCTCTGGCATTCGCAGGTCTCGGTTGCAATGGCAGCTAAGATCTGGGGAATTTCCTTTCGGGATCTCGGGTCAGCAGCATGAAGAGTTTATTCTCCGGTCTTTGAGTTTTAGCGTTCGCCTAGCCGAGACAATAAAAGGAGCTAGGGTTCAGCGTGCAGGGATTAAGGCTCAGAGCATGAGGGACTGGTGCGTAGAACTAAGCGAATTAAGGGATGAGGGCTTCCGGCTTTGCGAGACCCTCGAGAGGTAAGCCCGAAGCTCTGAAAATTGTGCATTTTCCCATGAAAACCCTCTCAATGAAACCCTCTAGAAACCCTGGGACTTGACACTTCCAAACAAACCCCCTTTCCCGCCTGTCTAAACCCCAAAGCCGAAAGCCCCTCAGGACCCGGGAGGTCACGCGTTGAAGACCGGCCGCATGGTCCCTTCATGCCTGGCGCCGGTGGGGCATCAGGGATCACAGGCTGCCAAGGGTTTCGGGGTTTCTTTAGGGTCTGGGGCGGTTTCGGGTTTACGCTTTGCAAGGTTTAGGGGCGTTTTGGGGGGTCTTCTAGTGACGAGTGCTCTTCGGGCTTGCGATTAGAACAGTGCAAGGTGGTCAAAAGTCAGGGATGTCAGATTTAAGGTGCGGGGTGTTCAGGGCTCGGGGCAGGGCTCTTGGGTCCTTAAAAACCAGGGCGTAGGTTCCCCCTAAAACCTGTCAAAGTTCCTGGATTCTTCTAAGCTCGGGCTTCGGGAGATCAGGGATGAAAGGAATCAAGGCTCCTACTCCTACTCCGACTCCCACTCCCATTGCCAGCGACCACCACTACGACGCTTGCTGCTGTTGTGGGCAAATCTTACTATGCTGCCGGAAAACACCACGACACATGACCTCTATCAATTCCTCAAGTCGTCCCCTGACTTAGTAGAGCCGTCTCCCTCACTGCCGGATGACCACAGCCTATGCTTCAGCGAGTCCCAAGGTGCGGTCCTATGCCCCGTCCCGAGCAGAAGAACAAACAAGCTCATGTCCGTACCACCAAATGCCCAAAGCATCAGGCCTGCATGACATGTCCCTCAACTTCTCGGGAAGCTGAACAAACCACCCTGTCAAACCGAACATGCCCTTGGATAAAAGAAGATGCCGGCGCAGCAGCATGAAAGCGTCGACACTGAGCTGAAGGATTTCGAGGACCTTCCATCATGTCTTTGGGCTTTGGGGCTTTCGTAGCCAGGTCTTTGTCTAGTTGCAGAGCCTTCTTGCACCTATGGCAGGACAGGATCCGGCATATACCGCAAATTTTACGAGCTACCACTCCACTGCTACGTTCGAGACCAGGGTTGCTTTGGGAAGCTGGGGTTAAGGATGGAGGCTGGGCGTTCAGGAGTTGAAGTGTGTCCGTCCGGCTGCACTTCTTTCGACGCGACCGGCTTGCAGGGTATGAGCGAAGACCAGGGCGAATGAGCACGGCAAGATCGAGTCATGCGCCTCGCTAGGATACAAACAACCAATAAAGTGAAATGAAAAACCGAAAACACAAAACCCTAAACGCCCCACATCCTGAAAAGCTCGTGTTTGCCACACTGCAAACTACAAGTGCCTGCAGAACTTACATGTCATTATTTTCAGTTTGAAGAGGATTGCAGAACATGATGGATTTCAAGGCTTGAAATCTAAGGGTTACATAGATTTTCGCTGGGAGGGCTAGGCATTCGGGGTTGCGGTCTGAGGCTTAGGGCTTTGGACCTTCAGAACACCGAGCTTTCCACTAGTGCTATGTACAAAGCGTGGCCGGTGAAACAAGGAGCCTCCGGAGAGACTCCAGTAGAATGACAGTCATACTAACTGCTGGAACATCAAGACAAATGATAGCGGATCAACAAAACGAGATGCTCCAAAACGAGAGCTCTTGCTTTACGAGCCGGTGTCCATCAACGCTTACGTAGAAGACAGTCCCGCATTCTTCCAACACTCCTCAGACAAGGGTCTGAAACAAAAAGGATTTCGGGGCGTCTGTATTGTGAATACTGCGATGAGCAGACCTCCAAATTGGCCTTGGAAACACCAAAAGACAGCGAACATGTTCGACCCCGTTGATTTGCCCCGAGACATGGATTTGCCAGTGACGAACCAGATGTGGAAGGCCGGTGCAACCTTTCGGGCTGTTAGGATACAGTGCTCACGGGTCTGGCCAGGCTCAACGGCTGATTCCATGGGTTCCAGGTGGGAAAAAGACTCTGGTTCGGAACTGTGCCTTCAAGCGGAGCATGCCATTGTGTCTCCCGTGCAAGCAAATTACGAATGACTCGAAGTTGTCGCACTTTCTGCATCGTTGTGCAGCACCTCGCCCACGATCATTGTTTCCCCGCATCGGCTGCATCGGTTCTGCACATAGCAACGGTGGCACATGGGTCTTCGCCTTTCATGATTTCGGCAGGGGATGCGGCAATGTACCAGAAGACCTGGATTTGCGGAGTTGCAGCGGACGCACGGCCCACCGCTGCTACCAGTCGTCTGAGTAGCCTCTGACTCTGACGGCTCTGGCTCCTGCCGGCCGTTTCCTCGCATGGGCAAAGACAGCTCCGAGGGGAGTCGCACTTGCCGAGCTGTGCGCCGGAAGCAGCGCTTGGCCAAAGCTAGGGAAGCCATCACCGCAAATAGGACCCCGACGACGACAGTGACGATGAGGACCGTGTCTGGCTGAGGTGGTTTGGGGCACGTGCCAAAAACCTCCAGGCACTTGGGGTCCAGGCTCTCCAGGCAGCATGCCCGGCCGGTCTGGCAGTGGGTGCCAGAGCGGTGGTCAGCGCAGCAGTCATCGCTGCCCTCCTCGACGCAACAATGAAGCTTCAGGCTGCCTGCGACAATCCCACAAGCGCCGGTGCAGCAGCTGCCATCACAGTATTTCGTCCCACCCGGACAGCACGAATAGACGCATGCCTTTGGCTCTGTACACTTGGCTTCAGCGTCGGACCATATCCTCAGCAAGCATGGCACATGCGAACTTGTCTGGGAGCTCTCAGTTGGCCTGACGACCCGAACCAGATGTCAGCTGAAGCATGTGCAAAGAAACAAACACAAGAACTTGGATAAGGGAACTTGGACTCTAAAAGCAGAAGACATTGTAGCTACAACAAGTGAGCCTGGATAATCACTTATACTGGTAATGATAGGAATACGAAGGCGAGCGAGAATTTAATACCCAAATACCAATACTGATACTAATACTAACCCTGATGCTGACAGCTGCTAATGTTCGTGCTAAAAGAAAACCTATGATACTAACACTAGGCAACGGATTCTAATACTGTAATGACACTGATAGTCATACTATAATGGACTGGTATTATGCACAACGGTATGCAGAGAAAAACAAAAAACAAAAACAAGTCTCAGAAGATGCAGACGAAAAGAGTGAGAAGCAAAGGCCAGCGCAAATGGGACCAACAGCCTGAACACTAGCCTGGAAGTAAGTAGGACTCACAGCCCCAACATGAAACAGAAATCAAAAATTACATTAAGCCCAATCTTGCGCGCTGGAAGCCGCAGCTTATACTCTTACACGTCAAGCTTCACGGGATCTGCATCGGGACAGCAGCATTTGTCGCCTGGGCCGCTGCGGCATTAAAATTTACGGGTTTAGGGTTCAAGGTTGAGCCACAGCTGCAGCATTTATGGCTCAAAAGCTCAAACTGCGATGGTATATCACAGACTTTGGAGCCTGTTCTGGGTTTAAGGCTAAGTGTTTGGGGCTTGCCTTCCTGCAGTGATATTACATCTCGAGCAGCGGTTGGAAAGACAGTCTCTCTGCGTCTGAGGCCTCCCAGGCGAATATGTTTAAAGAACCCCATTAATTATTATCTAACGAGTGTTCCTTCATGCTGGAGTTCTGCATGTCGTTAAGCGCCAACAGGCCCTCCATTTCTTGCAGCAAATCAGCAACACTAAACCGCAAACCCTTGAAGCCTGAATTCAAGACCTAGGCGGGTTTCCTTACTTGTTGGGTTAGGGTCCGGAGGACTGAGGAACTTATCGCCGAAAATTGGGAAATATGTACCCGCGAAAATCGTGAACACACCCTTATACACAAACTTATCAACAAGCCAAGAAAACCCATAAACACCGAGAAGACTCGATTAAACACCCTACACGACTCCACAGTTCACAACAAAAACCGAACAGGTTTCTGGCCCGGTCGCTCGATGGACGACGGAAAACCGACGGGCAGGGGCTCTCTGAAGCCGGTCTTGTTGAGTTCTTGCACACGTCGGAAAGCCTCAATTCTCGGGTTAGGCTGCTCACCCCAGGGTTGGCGCTTTGATTCCTGTCGCTGCCTGAATCCATTGCAATCATCATGCTGCTATTTGGTACATTGCTAAGATCTGAAACATCATGACAGTCAGCACAGGTGGTGTTCGTAAGTAGCAATAGCAGTAGCAGTAGCAGTAGCGGTAGCGGTAGCGGTAGCGGTTGCAGTTGCAGTGGCAGTAGCAGTAGAAGTAGCAGCAGCAGCAGCAGCAGCAGCAGCAGTAGTAGCAGCAGCAGCAGTTTCAGTAGCAGCAGTAGCAATAAGAAGAATAGGCACAATCATCATAACAAGAAAAAGAAAAGCAAGGATAAATTTGGACCGATAGAATGTCAGCACTACTCTGGCTTCTGATGTTGTAGACAACACATGCCTGAGATGCCACAAGTCTAGGACATAACATCCACTTCAAACTCTCGTCGTAGCGAGAAAGAGGCGGCAGCAGGGGTTGTCCGGACTCGCGCTGATAACATTCAGGGTTTAGGGTATCGAGTTTGGGGCTCCTCTTAGGGTGGGAGGTTCAGGGTGTTAAGAGTGGGGGCTGGATACAAAGGCTCTTGGACGCTCAAGCTTCAAGCTGACAACAATTCCACGCGACCAATCTCCTAGACTCCCTAATCCAAACGCAGCGGCACCTTCGTGTGCAGCCTGTAGTACTCGCGTTCTTCGCGGAGATCACTTCCGCGATCAGCGCGAAGATGATCACTACGGCGAGCTTGGAACTTCTGTATCGGCCCTTGTGGCTGGAGAAATCAGGGTTTAGACTGTCTACAGCTTCAGAGTTAACTAGTAGGGTTTCGAAACGGTACAGTTGCCTTCCCCAAGTGGCTAAAGACTACTACCTCCGGTACCCACACCAGGGATAACACCACTGAAGCCATCTAAGCCTGCAGGGCAGCCCCCAAACCCTCCAAGCGTTAGCCTTCGGCGCACAGCCCCCAAACGGCGGCAGACATGAAGAGAAGCAGAAAGTCCGGAAACTCAAACCGAAGGCGCGAATCTCTGAGAAGAAGCTGTTTTGAAGTAAAGGGGGAATGCAGAGGAGAGCATCCGTAAGGTGTAGTTAGCGTTCACGGCAGGGCCCTGGCCTCAGCCATCGTTCCAGATCTTCGGCCGCGCGTGCGGGCACCGCGAAGTGTGAAATGGCTGCGGCAGTGCGTTGCAGGTCTTCTCGTCCTCTGCAGTGCTCTACCCTCTCGAATACAGGCTTCAGGGTCTTGGCTGAGTTTCCAGGATCAGCACTCGAATCTCTGGACCGGTAATAAATAGTAATCACCACGTCTGTGAAGCAAGGTAAGGCGATTGTCTCGAGGGGGAGGCTCTTGATCTGGGTTGCATGAGTTGTAAAAAATACGGTAAGCTCTGCTTGGATTCCGTAGTTCTTGGCTTGCCCAAAACCCAATTCCTGGCTCCTGCACTCCATATAAAACTCGCCCTAGCTCCCACTGCTCTGAGCAGCCTTCTGCGTCGCTTGCCGCCACTGTGCTCGCTGGTCCTGTGCTGGGCTTTAGCCAAAGCTCTGTGGTTTGGGAGTCTGCAGTTCGGGTTTGGCGCTTTCTGGGTTCTTATTAGTTGATTTAATTTAAGTTAACATAATAAGGAAACAATATTATTTACTGTAGATCCCTATCATGGTAGCTTGAACTAAATCCCTTAACAAGAACCCAGTTTTCAATCTAGTAGGGTTCAGAGGTTTACAGTTTAGGGCTCAGGCAAGGGTTTGCAGCCTAAGGGTTTCGAGGTATGCGGTTTGGGGCTGCGTTGGTTTGGGGGTTATAAAGGCTCAAGGCTGAAGGTTCAGGTTGTAAAGTGCACTGTTGCTTCCAAGGATCACTCAGGCAGGTGCTAAGCTCTGGGGCTTCGACCCATGCCGAGGTCAAAAGATCGGCAATTCATCACGAGCAGCTCGGCACTCACTAACCTCGAAGTCAAATCCCCGAACCCTTTACAGCGCAAACTCGCTTCGGTCACGGCACCCTACATGTCCCTCGAGCCACCCAAAAGGTTGCAAGATAAACCCAGGACTGAGATGTTGCCTCTAGGGCTTATTCAGGGTTAGCCTGTGGCAATGTTGTTCAAAAGACCCGCCATTTTAAACTCCACAAGTCTAAACCCTGCATCGAAGAGAAACCCCGCTTGGACCGAGGTCTGCGGCGGTGGCGACTTAAGGGCCACGGCTCCCTGGCAACCCAAACCCAAACACAGAATCCTAGCCTTTAAGGTTTCGGAATCAGAATTGAAGGTTTAGAGTTTAGGGTTTCAGGGAACAGCACGAAGCCCGACAACCCTAGGGTCGATAAAGCTCCACGGTTCCACCCGACCCTCGCCCTGCAAGTCAGCCCTGCCTCACCGATGGCAATGCCCTGCGGGAGCCACTCTGAAAGCCTTGATTCGGTCACAAGGCTCTTATGAGAGTCGAGGGTGTTTGGGGCTCGGACAGGCCGTGCAGGGTACAGGGTTTTTGGGGCTGAAAGGTTTGAGGCTTGACGGTTTAAGTGCCGGGCTGAAGGCGGAGAGGGCCTGAGGCCACAAGGTGAGGGACCACTTTCTTTGTCTTTCCGGTTTGTTGAGCCCCTTTGTTGCCGGCTGCTCCGAATTCTAACGACGGGTTCGGGGCTCTGGAAGATTGAAGCTTTTAGGTTCAGCAGAGCTGTTGGGAATGTGCAGGGTTGAAGCTTTACGGCCAACGCTTTGGGCCTTAGGGTTCTTGAAAAACGCTGTCAAAGAAACATAGGGATATCGATTTTTAGAGTCCTGAAGTCTGGGTTCAACGATTTGCGGGCAGAGGGCCGTTGGGTCTCGGAGGTCAGGGTTTCGACATAGGGCTTCAAAGCTACAAAACCACTGAACCCCAAGCCGTGTGGTGTTGAGGGTTCAAACTTGGGATTTAGGTCTCAGGGGGGGCCATGAGATCTACAACTTCGTCCGAAAAAGCTTTGTGCTTCGGGCCACCAGGGCTTACACAGGGTCCGGCTTAGGGCTTCGGAGGTTTAGGATTTTAGGCAGTCCATCCAAGCTCCAAAATCTGAACCCAACCCCCACACCCGGGACCCTGAAACTCAACCTTCAGCTCTTCAACCCTCAACGGAGATCCTTAAGCCCGAAACCACCCCCACACGAAACTAAACGAGCCCGGCCAGAAGCCCCTTCTCCCAAAAAAGCCGAAAGCTTGCATCCCACCCCATCGTAATCCTTGAGCCGAGGACTCGCGAAGCCTAGAAAGCTCAAACTCGAAAGACCCAAATCGTCGAAACCCCGAGAAGAAGGCCCCAAAAATCTACAGCCCCCCGCCCCTCCCCCCTCTCTGAAACCCGGAAGACCTGAGGCCCCGAAAGCTAAAGCCCTGGACTGCTTTCAGGCCAAGGTAGCCCTGTCTTGTGCAGGTTGCGGCCGAACCCATACCTTCTTCCAGGTCTTTTTACCAGAGACTCCACTATCCGTTAGGGTTGGGGGTTAGGATTTCCGGCCCTGGGTGCCTTTGAATGAGTTCCTTAAACTGAGGACCAGCTTCTTAGGATCAAGACGTAGCATCCCTTTGGATTCAGGGGGTATATGGGCCTTGAGGTTCCAGGGTTCAATCGCTTGGCTTTGGGGATCTGCGCTGGGTTGGCGATAGCTGACCTGATGATATTCATACCAAACTCTCTACGGGTTCTGGCATCAATCTCTGCTATCATACTCTAACTGTCATTCTGGCTCGGGGCTTAGGAGCCAAGGTTAGTCTTGGGAGGTCCGCTCAAATCTCTGTGTATTTCGAAGAATTGCTTTGAACTCCGACCACACCTCGTCAGCAAGCTGATAGAAGCTATTCAACTCCTGACTACTTGGACCCCCCCTCTATTTACCTGCAAAGCGGGCTGCGACCCTCTGAAGACAAGCTGCACAACCTCGGTGACTCATTCTCTTTATTCAGATCGGGATCCTGCATTTAGAGTTGTTCGGGCCTCCAGGTCCTCTTGAATCCCATACAACCCTACTGAGCGCAACAACCCCATTCAACAGCTGGGGCCAATCTCTCTCTCTCTCTCTCTGTCTCTCTCTAGTTACGTGCTTCCCTTTTTTGAAGGCCGAGAGCACGAGATCCTGCAAAGCCGTCCATTCAACTTTGATAAAGTCCAATAGACCTGCTTTCTAATTGGTGACCAATAACCCCCCCTCCGAGAATCCCAGATCTACACCGGGATCCGAAGATCGAGGCTGTTGAATTAAGAGCGGTCTACTCTTGAGGGGTCCGTTTTTTTTTGTCTTAACAGAGGGGCCTCCAGCTCTCCCGCTTCTTCACGAGGGAAACGAGGGTCTCTGCGAGGTCTGCACGCACGCTCCGTCGTGACTCGGGGTTAGGGACTGGCCACTCTGTGTCTGCTCGGTGTAGCGCTTAAGCAATCATGAAGGCATGGGTGCAACATTTTCAGGGTCTACTTCGGGGGCTCGGTTGTCGGGAAAGGGCTGAGGCTCCAGGCGAAAGCTTTCGGTTTAGGCTACGAGTTATGTAGGGCGCAGGCGTGCAGTGGTCGGCTGTGTGTCTACCAATCAGGAGCAAGGAAGTGCAGAGGAGACAGAGGACTTAGGTTTAGGGTTTACTTTTGAGGCAGCTGCTGCAGAAGAAGTCGTCTTTGGGGCGTAGGCTGGGTTTATGACTCATGACGAGCAAGTAGAATACGGGCAGGAAGGGTAAGCAAAAGCCAAAGAGGAATGCACCAGGAAAACGATCCACTGGAACCCCCAAGTTCGCGGCGATACTGGCGAGACTCCACATTGCAAAGCCCCGCTCTTTATCCAGCACAACTTCGCAGAAATTGGCATGGATGACGCCGTCGTCGTCACAGCTACAGTTCCCGAAAAAACCTCCTCCTGAAACTTAAGCCACTTAAGCCAACATGCATGCTCAAGCTGCACATGCCGACTTTACGACAAGGACCTTACTATGCGAATCTATTTCAAGGGCACTTTTACTCTTACACATTTTCAGAATTCCACCCTCGAGTTGACTTAACATCGCTCCGCGCCTGGATTGATTGCTTGGCAGATGATCAGTCCACAATTCTTCACGAGCATCTGCGGAAGTAGGGTGAACAGATGAATTCCGGGGTGGGTCTGGGGTGCCTGACAGCTTCTGCGTTGTGGAAGCCTTAAACTCTAAATCCTCAAACGAATATTTAAAATCCAACATCCAGGGGCTTGGTGTTGCAGGGGGTTAAAAGTTCCTGTTGGGAGGTTCCAACCGACGCAGAGATTGCGTGACCTAGCAAGTCGGGCAGATTCGAGGGTGGGAATCAAGGATCTTCCCAAAGGCGCGTGGCAAAGCGAAGTGCAGAAGTACTGGCCTTTCTTGATGATAGGTGTCACGAGTAAGGAAGCCTGGGGTTCTTCGAACTCCCTACAAAACCGAAATCGACACGTCCATACTGGCAATCCCAAGCCTAAACTCCATAAACCCCTGAGGAACCCGAAAGCCCCGGCGAATCCCTCTTGCACCCGCTTCAATCCCAATCAGAAACCCAGCAACCCTAACTCCTGAACCCTGAACCCCAAAAGGGATCGACCTCCAAAAGGCTCAACGCCAGATGCACCGGCGATGGGCTGTCTTTGCCTCGGGGTTGAAGACTGAGCTCTACTTTTACAAGCTTTTAGCGGTGGTGTTCGGCCGAGGCGTCTCGGGCTTGGGCTTGTCACATGTTATCTTCAAGGTCTCCAAGGAGTTGATGGGATCAATGTGGCTGTTTTAATCTGCCAAGGTGCTACGGGGCTCCTCTCAACAGGGGCACCACCCATCACTTGCAGAGCTTCCCTGAACCCTAAGCCCTCAACCTTCCTCAACCATAAGAGCCGCAGGGCCGCCACCCTTCACAAACAACTGGAAAACCTCCAACAGGGTCGCGCCTTTACACCTTTGCACAACGACTCCCTACTGCACCGTCTCCCTCTGCAAAGCCCGGGACGAAGGCGCTCCTCGATGCGTGCCAGCGCCAGGGGGGCGAGGTGGCGATTCTCCTGGAATCTTGGGGTTTGGGGCTCAAAGCGTTTGGGGTTGACCCATACTGGGGAAGTGTAGAGCATTCACAACTCCACAAATACCCTACCTACTGACTGCCCATGGCTTCGTAGATAGGAACCCCCACAACACAGGTTGGGACCAGGAAGCCTACGTCCAAAACCCAAAGTTGTTCCAGATCATTTAACGGGGCCGTTCTTGGAAGCGGTATTGAATCAACAATGTTGTTCCTTCTTACAAACGTAAGACTGCCACCTTGAAAATCATTCGAGAACGGCCCTGAATGGCTATTCAAGCCTAGCCCCTGAAATCACAAGCCCTAAAAAACCCTGCACACTAAAGCCCGAAACCCCAAAACCTACAGAAAGCTAAGACAGAAACCGGACGATGCCTTGATCAGGTCGCAGATCTGCACGTTGACGGCCTCAAAAGGCAGATACATGGCTCTTGCAGGTTTGGGGTCGTCAGAAGGGTACACCAATTTAGGGATTAGGGTTTCAGGGGTTCGGGGGGATTGGGGTTTCTGAGTTACAGCTTTAGTTGGAGGTTCGGGTTCGGGGCTTAGTACTTAGGGCCCCAGGGGGCTAATTCAGCGGGTTCGGGGCACGGGGACCTTGAGGGGTCCCGGGTCAAGGTTAGGGCTCGCCTTGGGGTTTTGAAGGTTCTGTTGCGACCTCCTCGCTTACATGCAAGCGCTGCCCTCCCCCAGACCGACGTTAGGGTGTCACGCTTTTTTGGGTTTTGGCAGTTGTGCGGTGAAGTTCTAAGGCTTCGGGCTTCGGAATGCATCCCCTGCATAGTCTAGTTGTGCCGCAATATACTATATACTCAACACTCCCAAAGCCTTATTCTAATCGCTGAGGCCACGCTATTCGGAACTCTTGGCTCTAGGGCGGCTTTCTCCCGAGCGTTCTCTGGGTTCCCGCGGAAGCTAAACCGAGCCTATTCTAGTCAGTCTAGGCTACGATCACTCTTTGTTGATGGATTCCACAAGTGAAGCCCTGCCCTGAGGCTGGTACCCATTCGATCGCGGAGGACCGGAGCGCCACAGCCAAGGAGTCTTCCAACTGCATATCACTGGAGGGGCTGAAGGTGCCGGGGCTGAGGGGTTTGAGGGGCTAGGGTTTTCGGGTCTAAGGGTTAAGGGTCCCGAGGCGGACGGATTGAGGAGGCATCCGAAAAGACGAGGAATTTGTCGGGTTTTGCTTGCCTCGATGAAAAAACAAGTGCGTGCAGAGCTTAATGTTTAAGACCCTGTTCCGAAGCCCCGTGATCCTATGCGTCCCAAATGCACAACGCTGCTATATCCTGCTCGGCCTGGAACCATCATGGTTAAGTCATGTATAGCGATTCTCGCTACGAATTTGACGATGATTCCTTACGGGCTTTGGGCTTTGGGGTTCGAGGCCGAAAGCCGAGACCCTCAACCCTGAACCCCAAGACCGCACACCCTCGTAAATCTCCTTGACTTGAATTTAAAACCCTTTAAAACACCTGAAAACCCGTAGGCAACAGTCCACCACCACATAAAGCAAACCCCCCTCCCTCCTTGGAGTTCCGGGCCTCCCTAGCCGCGGCCATCAGCGAGGGGCGCCTGGGATGACAGCGAGGGACGCAGGGGCAGCAGCGGAGTTTTCGCGGCTATACGTGGTTTGGGCTTTAAGGTGCTGGGCTTGGGGCGGAGGTTTTCGCGTTTAGCGTTATGGGGCCGCCGCGAGCAGCTGTAACAGACTTTCTGCCGAGGGGTCACTGCCAAAGCGTCTGCCCATGGCATGCAGCGCATGGCTTGTCTCAGGACTTAGGATCTGAAGCTTAGGACTTCTGACTCGGGGCTTTTGGGGTAAAGGTTAGGCTTTTCGTTTCAGTGTGCGTGGGCTCGGGCTTGTGGCGAGCTTCGCCAAGCAATTAGGCTGTCCGAGGCGGCCTGTCATTGAACGAATGGCCAGATGGTGCTGCTTTACATGCTCATTGTTCCGATTAACAGCGGTGGCAATAGATACGTATTGCTGTTGATCACAGCAATAAGTGTTCTGCTATTATCGATATTCTTGTGATTATCAACAACAGTATCATAATCCTGTGGCTAATCTTGCTGAAGCTAAAGGACGCCCAGATACGTCGAAAATTTGAAGCAGTGTAGCTTGGGCGGTGAGGTTTGCGGGCTCCGTGTCTCTTGGAACCACAAAGGCTGCAGCACTGCCAAAGTCGGCATTGCAGTTCTGGATTTAGGTTTCGGAGTGCGGGTCGTGAAGTCGAAAAGAGTATCTGATGGGGTTGCCAGTTGCAGCCGAATCTGCGTTGCCACATGTTGCCACCACAAAAGCCTGCAAGCTCCCATACAGCAACCCTGAAGAGTCATGTCTAGAATGAGGGAGACTGGACAGGATCCTCACATAAGATCAGAGAATGGAGCTTTCCGCACCTTGCCCTCGAACCCCCGTCCGTGATCTTCGAAACAACTCGGTTCCCCTTGCTTCCGGGAGCTACGACCAACTCCAAAAGACATGGGCTGCTGTCTTTTGACCCGAGAGGACAGGGTCCGAAAACCTTTCCCTTCTTTCAAGATCTCGGAGCCGCTTGGAGTCTGTGTGGATTAGGACGTTCAAGAGTGACTATGTGGCTGTGATGACTTAGAGCTCTTTGTCTTGGGGAGGCCGGGAAGCCAAAGTATGGAGATAGCCCATGCCGCTTGTCAAGGTCTCAAACGAGTGTCTCGGCAAACCGGCTTCCTAAACCCTAAACAACATGGTTTAGGGACTCAGGTTTTTGTAGCGATTCCGTCAGCAACCTGAGAGATGAGTCTCTCCAAGCGCATCTTCACCGGCGCCGGCAGCTCCGTGGAGCCCTGCCAAGTGCGGAGGTCTAGGAAGAAGTCGAGCTGCCAGGCGTATTTCTCTTTGGTGCTGTTCCGCTTTGGCGGAGACCACGGTGGGTGCAGAGGAAGCACGCAGGGCCTCCTGGCCACATAGCCTCTCCGCACCAATTCGGAAGTGGGAAGCAGGAAGGCGCCTTGCAACTTATCCTTGTGCAAAACACAGGCCACCAGCAAGTCAGAGTCGTCCTCAGCATATGCAAGTCGTCCGAGCGAGCCTCCGCACTTCCGCAGGAACACTCCATACCGGCCCCTATCCTCATGGAAGTGCGATGCCTTCTCCTGCAAGCGCACAAGCGGGTCCCCGACACCAACCTCCAGCAGGGAGTCGACTGTCGACAGATGTTGGTGAGGGCAGGTCAAGCTCCAGTTCAAGCAGCGAAACAAATTCTTGAGCTGCCGGTGCGCAGCAACCTCAACCCTATTGGTGCGGGAGCACTGGAGCTCTGAAGAGGACATGTGGGGAAACTTCTTCATGTTCTTGAAGCAAGCAACCAGATGCGCCCCTATGTCTTCAACCCGTCGATCAGTGTCGCTTGCACATCCCATGGTTATGCTCAAATGAGCCGTCTTGAGTTCCTCGCCGGCGGCAGTCCACAAGCGACCACCATCCAGCGCCACAAGAAACACCACCATGCCATCATATCCCAGCAAATTCCAAAACCTGTAAGTCCTTCCTTGCTTCCACTCACTTTCTGCTGCCTTGAGCTGAATCTGCAAACCGGCTTGTGACGAGCCGCGCAGCTTGAACAGAGCATCTGCTTTGGATGATCCCGTCAAGCGCACGAGCTGGTACTTCTCAGAATAGGGCGATGCGTCAAAGTCCTGTTCGACCAGCTTGAAAGATCTGGCCTCCTTGCGGTGGTTGGAGCCCACAGTTCTCATCGCACGCTTGCGTGCCTGCTCCGGGGATTCATCATAAGCAGCTTCCTCCTCTGATGGAAAATTCAACCAGTTCTTGCGCCGAAACTGGTGGTCTGGAGTGGCATCTGGATACAAGCATCTCACCTCTTGATCATAGGCTTCTGCAGCCTTCTGAGCGCTTTGGAAGCGGCCGATATAGGGCGGTCTGCCACCAGCATATAGCCTCGCTAGGAACACACGGTCTCGCTTGTGATAGCTCACCCCACGAAACTTCGCAGCCTCGGCCCGGGCTGCAGCCTCATGGTGGGGCACATGGACAGAAGCTCTGAGAAGCCTGGCAAGCAACGGACAAAGCACAAGCCACACCAATGCAAATGCTGTGCGGTGTGTAAATCTCGGCATCTGCTGTTTTTGCAAACGAATCGGCCAACCCTTCGCTCAATCGGCCGCAGCAGCAACTGGACCCCATCTACGTTTTACGAAGTTGAGCAAGCAGCTGAAGCGGGTTGGGGTGGCCGGACTGACTGGACCAGCTGAACAGAGCTGCCGATTTGCCTGATAGCTAACGACCAACAGAAGAAATTTCGATGCAGCGAGAAGCACTGCTGTAAAACAACACCGGAAAACTCTTGTAAAATGCATTTGGCTTTATCTGGTTTGCTCAAGCCCACCGAAAAGCATAGGACCGACCTAATGCTGAAGCTGGCCCCTGAAACGGACACGAGAGACGAGAAGAGCTTCGACATCTTGGACAGGTCGATGCTGACTCTAGGCATCAGCCAATAAAAACGGCCCCAAGTCCGAAGCCCTGAAAACCCTACAGGATCCTCATGAAGTCGATCAGAAACGATGGAGGCTAAGCTAAGGGGCATTTATGATGCCGCCCACTGCTTGGAGTATGGGATCTAGGCCGCAGGTTGTAACAAGCTACGATGCCCACCCGAAGGCTGGGCCCTGGTCCCAAAGTCAAACAGCAAAAAACAACCTAAACCCCAAATCAAAACCCCAGATTAACCCCAAACCATACCCTGCACAAACGGGAACCGTCATCGCGGCCTGAACCAACTCTGGGGATAATGTTTGGGCTTCCCTGTCGACCAAAGCCCGTATCGGGGCCTCAACAACTGAAATATGAATGGGGTTGCGAGGGCTTTACGCAAGCTTGTTACAGGGTAGACCGGGAGCCATTCAGTCAGTCCGAATTCCTGGCTTCCCCGTCAAGACCCCCTCGACTCCTGCACCCCAAATTCCTCGATTTAGTACATCTATGCAGGCCAATAAAACCACCAAGACACACGCGCACACACACACACAGAGAGACAGACACAGACACAGAGAGAGAGAGAGAGAGAGAGAGAGAGAGAGAGAGAGAGAGAGAGGCAAACAAACAAACAGACAAACACACATGCCCACATCGCGTAGACTCTACTTACTAGGATGAGCTGGCCCCTTGAGTATCGGACTGTGCCCCAAAACCCCTGAACCCTATTGGATTTTGCTCGGGGACGCCTCAGGCCAAGGTCTTTCAGAGTCCTGCTGGGCAGGTGGTCTGCAACAGCGCCGGCTCGAAAGACCACCTTTGGATTTAGGACGTTTAGGGTTTGGAATTTGGGCCTTAGGGTTTGAGGTCTAGGGTTTGCGGATGAAAGATTGGGGTTTAGGCCTTCAGAACGTAAAGGCTCTAGGCGGTTGTATAGGGCTTTATTGGGATTTCTAAAAGCTTGTGTAGGGGGCTTTGGTTTAAAGTCTTTGCGACTTGGGGCGTGTGGTTCGGTGTCCAGGGATTTAGGTTGTAGGGCTTTTTCGGTTTAGAGATTCAAGGATTTGATCATAAGCCGAAACGAGGATTTTGCTTTTAGCTTCAATGTCTGCTTGCGGGGCGGGGCTAACCCAAAAACATTGTCACAACAAGTTCAACATCTTTCGAACTCACAAGCTGAGCCACTTGTTGTCCCCAGCATTCACATGCATGCCGGAAACCCGCGTGAACCCGTTGGCGACGCGGAGGACATCGAAGCGTGCCCAGCTTGCTTGAACCTTCTGCGGGGCTATCTTCAACAGCCCATAGCCGTGTTCAGAGCCTTCGAAATGTCGGAACTGTGGATTGGCATGCAGGAGCACATAGTCGATCACTCGTCCGACCAGGCGGGACAGATAGGAAGGAGGCTTGAAGAAGTGACCCAGCAGCTCGCCTGCTTTCTCGTCCATGTTGCCCCGACTGCCAGAGCCGGGCATAAACTCCACACCGTACCTTTCTACTGGTGCTTGAGGCCTGTAGGAGAACAAGTCTTTGCCGAGATAGTCGAAGCGAAACACGTCGGCGAGGTATGAGAAATGCATATCCCCCACAGCCCAGATGTTGTTGGATGCCTTGCCTTGGCTGTTTTTGAGGAGCTTCATATCATATAAGCCACCACAAGAACGAAAGTGTAGCAGGTACTAACTAACCCGGACAGGGCCATTTAACTTCCGTTCTTCAAAAACCGTAGAAAAAAAAGAAAAACATATGGCCCCGAAGACCTAATAACTTATCATTGAGTTCCTGAAGACACGAGCCCAGTGGCCACTTTGCTGCAGCTGATCGAAGAGTAAGTTCCTTGAAGCAGGCTGTCCCTCCCAAGTCGTCGTTGGTGCATGGAGCGGGCTTAGACCATGCCTGGGCTGCTCATGGAGATCATTCTAAACTTGTAGTGACTCCGAAAGACTCTCCAGAAAAAATATTGCAACTCGAATCTGCTATACCAACTTGAAGCTACTAGTCACGATGTCACTCTAGCCTCCCACTCCTACACTACATTCAAACGTGAAACAAACGGAGTTGTATTCAAGAACGGCCCGGATGCGACTTGTCGAACTTCAAAAAGAGGAAGGCGCAGGCCACGGTGCCCAAGAGGCTCCAGAGCCTGGGCACTTTAAAGGCTCTCGAGGTTTGGGGTCTCAGGGTCGAGCGCGGGTTTTGGGGTGTCGCTTTGGGCTCTTCGGTGTGGGTTTTGGGGGTCCAAGTTCGAAGGGTTTAGGAATGGGAGCTTGGGGTGCGGAGGTGTAAGGATCGTGATTTCAAGCTATCGTGATAAGGAAAACGCAGCACTTGCCACAGCTGACCTGTCGCGGGGACCTTGCGCGGAAATCCCTAAAAGACTGAACACCCTGAAAGACCCATACAAAGCCGAATGTCACCAATGACTTACACTGAGTCGCTAAGTTACTTAACAAGAGCTCAGAAGCCCGTAGGCACAGCAGGCACCCATCGAGCAGCAGCGGAGAATCCTCCGGCTGACCTCATGCCTCTTGGCACACAGGCCCCTGGATTGCCTAGGTTGTAGTTCAAGAGCCTCCAACCAGATTAGGAAATAGATACCTCGGCCTCTGCGCTTCGACAAAAAAACTCTCCCAAACTGCCACCTGACCGCACGTCTCCGCGATCCGAAGTTTCAGCCTTGCTCACACAAGCAAGTCTGGGGAGAAACCTGCAGCAGGCGAGCTGTAACAGCAGAAGCAGCGCGACACACGCGACCGGCGCAGCGAGGGAGGCTCCTGTCTTGTTCAGGGCCAGTGGCATGAAGGTCTTTGGCGATGCAAAAAGCCTCCAGGTGCCGGATGATTCTTGAAGCCTCAGCTATCTAGATCATGGGCCATAAATGAGGTGGGTTTGAAAGTGGGTTACACAACAACCCAGCCCAAAAAAAAACGGTATTTTTGTCTATTTCACTACCAAGAAGCTGCGTCTTCAGCCATTCCTCCTGCTCCTGGCCGAGGAGGCTCCCTGTGTTTGCCATGGCTGTATCAAGCATATACACATCCACCACGTCCTCCCCGAAGCGAAAATGCCGAAAACCCCCTTCCAGGGCATGATCCTCATCACGTGCCCTCATGGGCACCCACTCTCGGAAGGCGCGCAGCGAGCTGTTTGCATCTTTCCAGTTCACGTCATGGTTGTCGTAGATCACGATGAAGGGATGTCTGGATCGAGCCAGCCGGAAGTCGGGATCGAACATGTGCACCGACTGCAGGGCACGATACCTCACCAAGTCGGACGGGTGGCAGAGGGCATCTCGCAAGCCATCCATCACCTCGGCATTTCTGAAACAAGTTTGGGGCTTGTGGCAGTACACAAAACCCTTATCCCGGGAGCCTTGCACACTGAAGTCCTGGACGTCAATCTTGACCATGTCTGCGTGATCTGGGGGGTTCAGACAACGTGGACTCACTTTTGATTGCCCTGTGAAAGCCGCAAGAAAAACTCCACGAAATCATCACAAAACGCTTGACACACACATTTTAAAAAGCCTCAAAGTCGAGACCAGGTTGCCAGGTCGGTCTCGCTCTGGCGGGAGCCAGGCACTTCGTCGCAGTGGAAGTCCGGCACCCGAAGCAATTCGTCCGGGTCGGGCCTGCCAAGGTTCAGGGCTCCGGGCTTGTTGGGTTGAGGGCGTGCACTGCGTACAGTGCTTGTCGGGCATTTAGGGTTTATAGGGGTTTTCAAGCATACTGGGTTTGTTGATTGGGTTTACAGTTTGCTAACAGTTTGTGGGATTTGAACAAGTGAAGTCGCACGGGTTGCAACGTCAACATATTGCAGAAGGGACTGCCCTTAGAGGTTGGAGGGTTGCGGGGTTGACTTCTCCAGGGCTTTTCACGCCTTATGGCTAAGGAACATCAGTAGGAGAAACAGGAATAATCGGAACAGTGTTACAGTTGGTGGTGGCGGTAGTATTACCACGGTCTGCGTTTCAGTATCAAAATGATCTCCTCGTTAATACGAGTACTGGCACTGATGTGGTGTCCACCTGGGGTCCGATCTCAGATTACTCAGAGAGAAAGGTTGTAAGTACCTAAGTTCAGGTCATATCTGAGTAGAAACAAAGCTACCGTGCCGCTAAGCGTAGTTACTAAGTGCCTTGATCCTTCAAGCAGCAGTCTGCAATCTACATGCTCAGTTTAGTTAACGGCTTGGTGCTCCCTGTTGCCCAGAGCGAGGAGGGATGCCTTTCGTAGACCAGATCGCCAAGATGCACCACGGCATCCACGTCGTCGAAAGCAAGTTGCCGATAGAAGTTGAAATATCCACTCCAGAGGCTGGTGCAGGAGACGACGGCCAGGTTCACTTCGGATCCCCTGCTTGCAGTTCGCGTCCGACCCAGCATGGAGCGGTTTCCAGCGACGGAGAACTGATAGAAATACTGCGAGCTCGGAGCTAAGCCTGAGACGTCCACAGTGATGGCAAAGTCCGAGCCAGCTGAGGCCATCTCGATCCCCTGCCTGAAAGGGCTGTCAAAGGACTGCTCACCCTCACGCCAGAGGCGCCAGACAACTTCTGTGTCTGAGCCAGTGCTGACACGGGTCCATATAAGAACTCGGTCACTGAGAGGATCAGCAGATGCCACGCCGTGCAAGAACGGAACATGATCCCAATCCGGGAGCAGGTTCAGGTCCGCTGCATGGCAGAGGCATGGCAAAAGGAACAGCCACAGCGGCTGCATTCGCAGCAAGGGCTCTCCCCTTAATTACAGGAAGCAAAAGAAACTCCGAATTGCCCCTTCTGAGACCTGCCCGCGGCTGCGTGAGACACAAGCAATCCCCAAAGCCCTCGGAGTTCGGCCACAGGGCTGGTCATCCCAGTAAAGGATCCCGCAACGACAGCCTTGCTTCAGTCCGAATCACTTCAGCAAATAAAACCTGCTGGCAAGGCTTGAAGAAAGATAGTTCGAGGGGCTTTGAAGACATGTCGCAGGACATGCTCCGTGCCGGGTGCGGAGCAGCGCATTCTCTAGAGAAGTCCCGCTCTACTCATCTGACTTGCTATCATGCTTTCTCGCTTGCCCCCGCACCCTCGAAGACAAGACCATATGCAGTGCAAACAGATAACTTTTTGTCTCGCCCAGTCTGATGCGGAATGCAAGGCCCATGCAGCCATGCACAAGGCTGCAGCTTTCCACACAGATCTCGAAACACCTCAATATAGGTTCGCACAGGTATGCAGCTATGTAGGCATTATAAGGGCATGTTGCTACTAAATAATCAGACCCCTTAAATAAACAGACCCCCAAAACGGCTTGCCATGCAGATATGCTTGTTCTCATGTTTTATAGTTATATATATATACACACACATACATACATACATACATACATACATACATACATACATGCATGTGTAATGCGTAATGTGTGTGCATGTAACTGCTGGAGCCCCTCTGCCAACCCTAATTCCTAAGCCCAAGCCTCGCAGGGTACGCCCCATGATCTCTAAACTCTCGGATCCCTAGACCCCTGAAACTCCAATTTCGTCTTCAAGGGATCCACATTACAATGGATGATTACATGCGGGTGGTCTGTTTATAGCAACTCTTGGACTCCCCTGTACCCAACACCCAAACACTAAGAACCCCAAATTTTTCGACCCCACAAGGCTGCATCGACTGAATCTCGCAGCCTCGGCAACGACTGCACTTCACCTTCGGTCGCTGACGCGAAAGCCCAAAGAAAGGCCCCGGAGCCCGGGCACGGAGTGCACAGCAGATCCTGTACTGGGGTTGAACTGCTTTGGGGTTTAGTTTAGGGTTGAGGGTTCAGGAGCTTTGGGGTTTTGGGTCCAGGGTGCAGGATGCAGAGTACAGAGCGTAGACTGCAGGATTTATGGCTACGGCATAGTCAGGGATTCTCCCCTAAAGCCAATACAAGTACTATCAGCGCGGCGGCTGTCTACTCCTGCCTCGAGCTATACGCGGT